GCTCGCACAAGCACCAGCCCGCCGCACAGCACCACGGGGTAGCTGGGCCCAGGGGCTGCCACAACCCTCGCTCAGACAGCGGCCTCGCACCCTGCCAGCGAGCTGCCGGGACCTGGCCCAGGGAAAGGCCGGATTAAAAACAGATGGGACAGAAAGACCCGCGCTTCCGGGCAGAGGGAAACGGGCCGCTCTCCCGTTTATGAGGAGCCGAGACTTTCACACACGTGTTCCATTAACAGCAACCAGACACCCCGGCCAGCTCTGCTCCTCCCTGGCACGGGCTGGCAAGAGATGCACAGGCATCCCCCGAAGCAGGATTTCAGCTGCACATATCAAGCAGCACTTACTCCTGCCCTCACACAGAGCAAGGCCCACGCCTTGTCAGCGGACTTGCCCTGTGCCCGAGGAAAGGCACCTGTGCTCGCACGCTCACTCTCCAGGCAGCATCAGCCTAAGTGATAAAGCATGGCCTGAGCCAAGTCATGCTGAAAGGGTAAGGGGCTGGGGCTGGGGCTGGGGCTGCAGCATGAGCTAGGGAGACCCAGAGGGTCCAGCCATGTCTGTTTTCTTTTCTCCTTGGGAAGGTGGTTGCCAAATACTTCTGCTGCTCCCCATGAGATTCATTTCCAGCAAACAATGATGTTAGGATCATTCTCAAGCCTTTCATCCAACTCCCTGTAGCTCATTCCTGTGGAGGAAGCACAGAAGCAATAATGCAAGAACCAGACTATTGAGCACACATATGGCACTAGGCATTAATCCATCTGCTCAGCTTCAGTATTGTCCCCATTATTACACATGGGGACACGCAAGCATGGAGTGGGAATCAGAATCGAACTCCCGGCCGTGCTCAAGCCACTTGGTCATTCATCAGCTCAAAAAACAGACAACCCATAGGTCCTAGACTTTAGGTCTCCTCACCCATTACAGCTTTGCCACATTAAACAGGGCCTATGGTGGTGCTCTAGATGAAAAAGATCATGCAGTTCAACATGTATCCATGAACACTATTTTAATATTCAAGAAAGGACAAGGGAAAAAAACAAGGGTCACATGGGTTCTGTTAAAAGGATTCCCTGAGTTAGACTCTCCTGGAGCCCGAAGATCGCACTCTCCAGCCCAGCACTAAGGTCAAACAGCTGCCTCAGTTATGTGTCTCAAAGCTAGGTGACTTCTCCAAGATAGCAGACTAGATTGCTAGTCTGCAACTAGCAACATCTGTATACCCAAATTACAGTGAGAGAAGCAGAATAGAAGCCCTTCTGCGAGAACAGCATCTAGCACAATGAGGTCCTAAGCCATAACTCAGGTTCCTAGGTTTTTCCAGTTGGAGCTCTCAGATTGCAGACCTAGTGCCCATAGACATGCACACAGACTTGAGTTTCTGGGAACGTTCATGCATGTACCTGTTTTACAGCAGATCTCATCATAACTGTGGCAGCCTGTGTACAGCCGTGCCGGGTGACTCCTCTCTTCCCGCACTATCTTCACAGGATACTTCTGCAGCCTTCGGATAAGGTCCTTCATCAGGCCAAACTGGATAAGCTTCCTGAAAGAGATGGAAGAACAAAATACTCACAGAAGGGCTGTGGTCCTGGGAAAAAAGTGCAAGTAGATGGGGCTTGGAGCAGAAGTCTCAATTTCGTTTCACCACAGCTGCCAGTGAGAGCTCTGCTGAGTCCCAACTCAGCTCATCGTCTCAGCTGAGCCTGGAGTCTATTCAGAATGCCGAGCCTATGCCATACAACAGGGCTGGTGGTCACAACCTAGCAGTAAGGGATGCATGGCTTTGAGGGAATGAATTCTGCAGTCAGTCTGACAGGAAAAGGCTCAAGAGGAGTCTGAGGCAGGACACCCAAACTCTGATGAAGTTTCACTTTGTGATCCCCAGATGAGTCACTTCATTGCTACACTATTCATGAGGATTTGAGGCTGCTGCCTGCATTCCCAAGTCAGTATCATTCAATGGCACTCTCACTGACAATCAGCAATCGCATAGCCTCATCCCAAGGGCTGAATTCTCAAAGAGAAAGCATCATCAGACCTTTCATCCACTCGCTGGAGCTGGAGGGTGTAGCGAGAGATGAGATCCCGTACAGTTGTGCCAGGGCTTAGCCCACAGTAAAGCTGGAAGACGTCTCTCAGACTGGCTCGTTTGTGACCTATAGGGAACAAAGCCATTGCTGCAGTCCCTAGTGCCAGGATGCAGGATTACCAGTCTCCTCACCAAAGCAATGGTTGTGACTTAATCTCTCAGTGGTGAGATTTTTTCAAGCCCTTGATCATTCTCATTGCTCTTCTCTGAATTCTCTCTAGTTTTGCAACATCCTTTGTGAGATGGGTGCCCTCTACTCCAAAAGCAGTCTAAATGACTGTTATAATGCAACTGGAATCATTACACATACCCCCATCCCCACTTTTGCTGCAGATACATAAAGCAGATGTTACTTAACTGTCTACTATGATGTCCAGGGCACCAATTTAGAAACCAGTAAGTACGATTAAGTCTTTGCTTTATTGCAAATGCAGTGGGTATTGTGCATTGTATTAATGCTGAATGCTTTTTCCTGTCTTATGACCTACTCATCTGGCTTACTCAGGTCTCCCTGAAGTTCCTCACAGTTATCTCTGGTTCTGACCAACTTAAGTAACTTTGTCATATGCGAAAAACTGGCATCTTTCTGTTGATCCTTTCCAGATCATTAGGCTAGACAGTAGGAGAAATTCTCTCATTAGTAGTAAAACACTGGAACAGGCTGCCCAGAGAGGTTGTAGAATCTCTACCCTTGTAGGTTTTTAAAAGCTGGCTGATGCCATCTGGGATGATACAGTTGGGAGATGGTCCCACTTTGAGCAGGTGGTTGGACTACATGACCACCTGAGGTCTCTTCCAACCCTGATTTTCTATGCTTAACACAGAATCATAAGGCTCCCAGGTGATGACTGTTGGTTAGAAACAAACACATGTGAAGAATAAAATGTTGAAATGTTAGTTCCCTAGCCTTTACTACACCAGACTTTGGAAGGAACCTGGAAGTCATGACGGGCCAGGGACCATACCATCTCTGCTCATATCTAGGTCAGTTCAAGCCCACTATACCTTGCTTGGTGACATAAGACAGACATTCTTCTTGGAGGCATTTATCATCCACCAGGTCCTGGACTTTAGGTGTGGTGCAGTATACATTTGAGTACTGGAAGGAGGGGAGGAGAGGAAAGTTGGGGGAAGTGAAAGAGAAAGATATGAAACTCCCGTTCACCAGAAGCCGAGGAGCCTTTGAAGCTCATGAACTAGAAAAATCAAACAAAACTCTAAATGCCTCACAAGTGCCTTAAATTCATCAGGGGAGGGCACCAGGGATTGAAGATGCTCTATTTACTAGGGCACCCCCTGGAGTAACTAGGAACAGTAGCCACAAATTGACAGAAAGCAGATTTAGGCTGGACGTTAGAAAGAACTTCCTCACAGTATGGGTTGCCAGAATCTGGAATGGGCTTCTAAGGGAGGTGGCACTCTCCCCTACCTTGGGGGTCTTCAAGAGGAGACTGGACAAGCACCTAGCTGGGGTCGTCTGACCCCAGCACTCTTTTCTGCCCAGGGCAGGGGGTCAGACTCAATGACCTACTGAGGTCCCTTCCAACCCTAACATCTATGACTCTATGAATGCCCCCACCATAAAAGCCTTAATAGGGAGTAAATTCAGGTCAAAAACATAAAATTCTCCATCTTCCCAACACCAGTACCTTTTAGCAGGGGCTTTTGCTCCTCCAAATTCTACGGGAAGCTACAGAGCAGCTCCCCTCTGCTCACACCAAGTTGGGTCCAGCTGTTAAAAGCAGGAATGTTCCTGCCCCTAGGCGTTACTACAAGGTTATGGGCAGAATTTTACACCGCATGCACTTTGGTGGCCATGTTCTGCCAGGAACATCAGTGGAGTTAAAGCCATCACTAAAGCTTTAGAACCTTACTTTAAGGCCCTTAGCACTAGCCTGTACTACCTGAGCAGTTTCCTTCCTGGCTGGAATCGTCTAGCCATACCCACCTGCAATATGGAGACCAGAGTCACCACCCCATAATATCTGCAAGACAGGCAATAAAACACATTAGAGAGCTCTAGTTAGAAATTACATCAGCTCCACTCCATTCCCCCTCAGCAACACACAGGTTTCTCTATTACTATTTATCAACTGCAGGCCCATCTTTCTGCAATGCTTTCTTTATAGGAAAGAGTGTTTAGCTGCATGGAATACTTTTCCACATAAAGAGACCAGGCTGTTGAAAGGATCAGACTGTAGGGCTAAAGAAAGGGGGATAAAATGAGCTTCTTGCTTCCCACTGCTTTTGCTCTTGAGGTAGCACTTACAACAGGTTCTGGATGGCAATTCGCACCAAATTGAGCTCCACGTCAGCTTCAGCTGAGATCTTCTGAACATGTCGAAATCCATCAATGTATGGCAGGATCTAGATAAGCAGCATGTGAGAGCCATTAAAGAGTGGAGTGCCAAATGTGCAGGAGTGACCAGGATGCATTGTGCTGATGGCTTTCCTAAGCTGAGCTAGGGAAACCGCTGTAATGACACTGCCAGGAGGGGGATCTCCATTCAAAATGCCTAATTTACTTCAGTGAGGATTTTTTTTCAGTGTTAATACAAGGCAGTGTTAAATTTATTTGGGTGCCTTAATTAAGTTAAAAGAAATCCAACCACACTAAATATAACTTGGAAGCTAGAGTTAAGGTGACAAGACATCTAAGTTTTTGCCTTTATTTACATTTAATTTTGACTGTAACTGCCTTCATGTATTTTTTAAAATGGGATAGCAATGTCAATATACAAACCAAACACGTGAACATCTGGTACCAAGGATCCTGCAGCCAACATTGCAGCCACACATGAACAAACTACACTTTTACAGAACTGAATACC